ACTAATGAGCGAGTTACACAACAAGAAGCTTTTATACTTCGTTAATCGGGTCCGGCATCCCAGCCCGCCCCTCCACGCACCACTCTGGCTGGCCAGCAGAGCCCCAGCTCCCTCCTTCCCTCTCCTCAGTTGCCTTTTGTAAGGTTTTAATGGGGTTTCTTGCTTGGGTCGTGCTGACTTAATTACAAAGCTGCAGTGAGTTGATGCCTTGTGACGGTCTAATCCCAACCCGGTGACTCTACAAAGCTTTCGCCAGGCTGTCTTGCTGCGCCACTCCGGCCTCAACGTCCGTGCATCTGTCTCAACCCTCTGTGAACGGTTCAGCTTTTCCTCTCCCTGGTGAGTATTCGAGACTTTTTCCACCCAAAGTAACTGCATCGGAGACCATCAACCAGCCCTCCCTTAACCTGGCACCTCTGGGGCTGGCATTGGTTTTAACGCCTGGGAAAAGGGGATGCCCATACCTTCCCTGGGAGCTGGCAGGGAAAGGATGGCCCTGGGAAGTGGTTGAGCTGGAGCCAAGCATCCCTCGCACAGCCTGGGCTTGGAGCCGGTGCTACGGCCAGGCAGGGGCAGGGTGAGGTGCTGGAGGTAGGATGAAGGCACCCTCCTCCTCCTCCCCAAGCATGGGAAACAAGGTGTTTCATCCACGCATTGGGAAGATGCCAAGAGGCTCGCGGTCCAGCCTTGCAGCCAGCGATGGGCTCTGGGCTGGAGCAGCAGGGCTCAAGGCTTTGGGAAACACTTTAGGGATAATGGGGTAGTAGAAATAAAAGGCAATAAAAGCACTAGCTGGCTGGCTGCCTGGCCAAAGCTGGGCACTCGCTTCTGCCCATATGAAGGTGGTCTGAGACAAAGCAGCACTGCGTGAGCTCATGGGGTCCCTGTGAGGTGCCCCAAACCTCCAACAGAAAAGCACAGCCAGAAAAAAAGGATGAAGGTGTCAGACAATCAATACCCATATTTTTAAGCTGCTTTTGCAATCATCCCTGGTGTTTCTCAATGCCGCTCAGCCTCCGGCAGGCAGGCAGAGATGCAGGTAGTACGAGATGGAGCTGAGGAGGGTTGGGGGTGTCCTTCGGGCATGCACCTCCACGCCTGCCTGAGTAACAGGGGCAGGGGATGGGGCATGGAGAGGCTGTGGAGGCTGTTGGGATCCCCACCACTGCTGATTCCTCCTTCCCTCTCCCAGTGTCCTGCAGCTGACGGAGGACAGAGGACAACATGTCTGCGGTTGTGAGTACTGTCCCTGCACTGCCTCATCCCCCCGGGCTCTGAGCACCCCTTCCCCATAGCGCCAGGATGGGGTGCACGCCACACACCACTTACCCTCCCAGCTGCTCCCAGCCTGCAGCAGGGAGCCTGGGCAGCACATAGCCCATCCCCATCCCATTGCACCCTTCCCCATAGCCCCCCACCCGAAAAGACCTGCAGTAGGGCAGGGAGCTGGAGGGCTGGATGACAAGACCCCACATCCTCTCCTCACCCCCAGACGGGCCCCTTCCGCATCGTCTCGGAGGAGGAGCAGGCCCTGCGCACCAAGCTGGAGCGCCTCACCACCAAGGACCATGGCCCCGTCTTCGGGAGGTGCGAGAAGATCCCCCCGCACACCCTGCAGAAGGTGAGGGTGGCCGTGGGGAGTCGGGGGGCAGGTGCAGCCTGCAGTTCCTCTCCTTCTTGGGGGCCAGAAGAGAACATCAACAGGCTCTTGCATTGGGGGGGGATGCACTTACCCCAAAAGGTCCCCAAGTAGGGGAATTGGGTGACCCTGCCTGCTCTGCGCTGGGATGCTGCAAGGAGCATCACTGCACTCCTCTAGCTTTTGGGTGCATAAATAACGCCCAGAGTGTTTTGGAGTGTAAGAGGCATCACTGAGCTGGGTCCCCTCTCTGGTCCCCCCCAGGCGAAGGATGAGCTGAACGAGACGGAGGAGCAGAGGGAGGTGGCAGTGAAGGCGCTGCGGGAGCTGGTGCAGGAACGGGCGGGCAGCGAGGAGGTGTGCAAGGCGGTGGCTGAGAAGGTGCAGGGGAAGGACGACTCCTTCTTCCTCCGCTTCATTCGCGCCCGCAAGTTCGATGTCCACAGGGCCTATGACCTGCTGAAAGGTGGGGATGGGTCCTGGGCTGTGATGCTGGGTGAGGACAGGGGTACACATCCACCAGCAGCTCCCAGTCTTGTGCTGGTGCCTCCTAGCCCTCCAGTCTGGGCTGTGCTGGCAGAGCAGGACCCTGGCACGGGAAGGGGATGAGAAGATAAATGGGAAAAGACA